GGACTCCTCCCCACCAGAAAGAGAGCCAGAAGGCAGATGAGTACCTGAGGGAGATCCAGGAGCTGGGCCAGCTGACCCAGGCCGTGCAGCAGTGCATTGAGGCTGCAGGACATGAGCACCAGCCAGACATGCAGAAGAGTCTGCTCAGGGTTGGCCTGGATGGCGGGTTGGGGAGGGTGGGGCTGGGAGGAGGTGGAATGGGCATCAGGGAAGCTCTCTCCTATTACCCTCTGGCTCTTCTCAGGCTGCCTCCTTCGGAAAGTGCTTCCTGGACAGATTTCCACCCGACAGCTTCGTGCGCATGTGTCAAGACCTGCGTGTGCTCAATGCCATTCGTGACTATCACATTGGGATCCCACTCACCTATAGCCAGTATCCCTGTGCACTCCGGAAGGGTGCTTACAGCCAGGGGTGGCAGGGGAAGGGGCTGGAGATGCAGTCTGCAGGTACTTGGCAGGCAGGGCTTATTCCTCAGCTGAATCCTTAACCAAGAAAAATACAGATACAAGCAGCTCACCATCCAGGTGCTGCTGGACAGGTAGGGTAAGCCCAAGGGTGCAGTGAGAGGGCTGTCGGGGGTAGGAATTACAGCCTTTGCTGGGGTCTTATGGTCACTGCTTCTGACCCATCTCTCTAGGATGTGGGAGGCCTGATGTGCAGGCTGAGACCACTCTGCCCCCTCTTTCTCCTCCACCTCACTCCTTGTATCCTTTACCCACCGGGTCTACCAGGCTTGTGTTGCGGAGACTTTACCCCCTGGCCATCCAGATATGCGAGTACTTGCGCCTTCCTGAAGTACAGGGCGTCAGCAGGATCCTGGCCCATTGGGCCTGCTACAAGGCAAGGATGTGGGATGGTGTCCAAGGGCACTTAAGGGATTCCAGGTCCTGGTGAGTTGGAGGAAATAGAAAGTGTAGAACTGGGCCAGGCACGGTGACTCAGCCTATAGTCCCAGCACTTTGGGAGGCCGAGATGGGCGGATCACCTGAGGTTGGGAGTTTGAATTGAGCCTGGCCAACATGGTGACACCTTGTCTCTACTAAAAATACAAAAATTAGCCAGGCATTGTGGTGCATGCGTGTAATCTCAGCTACTCAGGAGGCTGAGGCGTGAGAATCGCTTGAACCTGGGAGGCGGAGGTTGCACTGAGCCGAAATCACACCACTGTACTCCAGCCTGGGCAACAGAGTAAGACTCTGTCTCAAAAGAAGAAAAAGTGTCTAACTGAAGGGGTGGGTCCTAAGGGCTTGCAGGAGTGGAGAGTGAGGAATGGCATCCAGATTTGTGTGACACCCCACATCCCTTGCAGGTACAACAGAAGGATGTCTCAGATGAGGATGTGGCTCGAGCCATTAACCAGAAGCTGGGGGACACGCCTGGTGTCTCTTACTCCGACATTGCTGCACGAGCCTATGGCTGTGGCCGCACGGAGCTGGCCATCAAGGTGTGGGTGCCCAGCCTTCCACAGATACTCTGATGTGGGTGTTCAGGGTCCCCATACCAGCTCCTCCTCTCTGTGTCTTCCTTCTCACCTCACAGCTGCTGGAGTATGAGCCACGCTCAGGGGAGCAGGTACCCCTTCTCCTAAAGATGAAGAGGAGCAAACTGGCACTAAGCAAGGCCATCGAGAGCGGGGACACTGACCTGGGTGAGGGCAAGGCTGGGGGGGCTCCTAGGGTGAGTGGGAGCCTGGCTGGAGTTCCACTCCACCTTATTCTCCTACAGTGTTCACGGTGTTGCTGCACCTGAAGAATGAGCTGAACCGAGGAGATTTTTTCATGACTCTTCGGAATCAGCCCATGGCCCTGAGTTTGTACCGACAGGTGTGTGTAGTGGGCAGAGTTGGGGTGGAGCCTCCTGAGCACTTGAGTTGGCCTTGCTGACTGATCGCCTGCCTATGGCCCCAGTTCTGTAAGCATCAGGAGCTAGAGACGCTGAAGGACCTTTACAATCAGGATGACAATCACCAGGAATTGGGCAGCTTCCACATCCGAGCCAGCTATGCTGCAGAAGAGGTCTGAGGCCCATGGGGCATGTGGGACCTGTGGGCTGGGGCTGTTGGTCTGGTTCCTTCAGGAATCTAGGCCTTCCTGCTGGGTGTACACCCCATCTAGTCCTCACTCTGAGGGAGAGTCTGACGTGAGGCCAGGATGGGAGTGGGTGTCAGAGGAGCTAGCTGTTTCTCTAGGACATCGGAGTGGTGCCCCTAGCAGGGAAGGGTGACCCTGGGCACAGGGATTGAGGATAAGACTGTAGCCTGGGTGGGGAGGGCCAGGGTCCTGCATGCTATGAGTTCAGGCCTGCCTTCTTGTCTTTGTAGCGGATTGAGGGCCGAGTAGCAGCTCTTCAGACAGCCGCTGATGCCTTCTACAAGGCCAAGAATGAGTTTGCAGCCAAGGTTTGGTGCACGCTTTTCTAAGAGGCTCTTTGTCCTCTACTAGTCTCCCCTCCTGATCCTTCATCCCCATTTTGCCTCATTATCCGGGTACCCAGGCTACAGAGGATCAAATGCGGCTCCTACGGCTGCAGCGACGCCTAGAAGACGAGCTGGGGGGCCAGTTCCTAGACCTGTCTCTACATGACACTGTTACCACCCTCATTCTTGGCGGTCACAACAAGCGTGCAGAACAGTTGGCACGTGACTTCCGCATCCCTGACAAGAGGTAGATGAGGTCCCAGGCTGTAGGTGGGTCCAGGACCACCCGCCTCTCCTGCAGCACCTCCAAGCCCAGCTTTCCTGCAGGCTCTGGTGGCTGAAGCTGACTGCCCTGGCAGATTTGGAAGACTGGGAAGAGCTAGAGAAGTTTTCCAAGAGCAAGAAATCACCCATTGGCTACCTGGTGAGGCAGGGTCCTCCCTCCAGCCCACTTCCAGTGAGGGTAGTCTTCGGGGAAGAGGGATAGGCAGGGGGACAGACAGGATGGCCCATTCATGCTCCTGTTCAGCTGTCCACCTGTTTAGTGAGTCCTTCCTGTGTACGCATTAGTGGGCAGGCACCATTCTTTGTGTTGGGTGCACTGGAGGATGGATCCAAGTTTGCCTGCAGATGTTAGGGGGAGGGAGAATGAGCTGCCTTCCTCAGGGAGGGCCATGGGGCACCATGCGCCAGAGGGAAAGTCCTGTTTGAGGAGGGTGGAGGGGGACAGGGAGGGTGCATATGGGAGGCAGTGGAGATACTGAGGGCTGTTTTCTGTGGCGGATAGTTCAGAGGTGTGGAGGGCAGGTTTGAGAATGCCAATCATGAGAGAACACATAGGACCTGCAAGGGGAGGTGGCAGGAATGCCTGTTACAAGGAGTAGTGGTGGGTGGTAGAGCAGAAGCTTGGAAATAATTGGTCTCAAGGCTCTGACAGAGCTTTGGGTTAGGTGGATTCTGCCCTAAGAATGTCGAGATCATAACTATCTGTGCGTGGGAGCTGGGAGATTACATGTATTGACAGGCGTATACATATAAAATATATATGGACGATGTATCCATTGGGGCTCTGCTCATAAGAGAGAGGACAGGAGGCTCTGCCTTCTCCCTCCACCCACTCCCTCTCCTCCTAAGCCTTTTGTGGAGATCTGCATCAAACAACATAACAAATACGAAGCCAAGAAGTATGCTTCCCGTGTGAGTCCTGAGCAGAAGGTCAAGGCTTTGCTTCTTGTTGGGTGCGTTGACTGAGGGTCTGTGAGTGCTGGGTGGCTGAGCTGTGGGCTGGTGAGAGGCAGGGTTTGTGTCCTTGAGCAGCCCTGACATCACCTCCTCTCTTGCTCAAACCATAGTGATGTGGCTCAGGCTGCAGACGTGGCCATCGAACACCGGAACGAGGCTGAGCTGAGCCTCGTATTGTCCCACTGCACAGGAGCCACAGATGGGGCCACAGCTGATAAGATTCAACGGGCCAGGGCACAAGCCCAGAAGAAGTGATGAGTCTACCCTGCACATTTCAAGCAAGGGGTTCCTCCTAGCACCTGATCTTGACAGAGGGTCATAGTTCATCCAGCTGCTCCCCAGAGCAATGCTGAGGAGGCGGGGTGGGTGGTAGCAGGGCTGTCTGGTTGTAAATAAAGTTGGAACACTTTAGAGTACTTGTCTTACAGTCCAGCCTAAGCAAAGGCAAGCTCAAATCAGGACCCTTCAGACACTACGGCAAAACTCCATTTATTCCATTGTGTTGGGACCGGAGGTGGGGGCTTCTTCAGCCATACTTAGAAGAAACCTGTCCTCTCCATGGTTACCAAGGAAAGCTTTCTCTAGCTCTCAGCCCCTAGGAAGATTATGGGGAGAGATGGCATAAAACTTAAGCACTGGCCGGGCGCGGTGGCTCAAGCCTGTAATCCCGGCACTTTGGGAGGCCGAGGCGGGTGGATCACGAGGTCAAGAGATCGAGACCATCCTGGTCAATATGGTGAAACCCCGTCTCTACTAAAAATACAAAAAAAATTGGCTGGGCATGGTGGTGCGTGCCTGTAATCCCAGCTACCCAGGAGGCTGAGGCAGGAGAATTGCCTGAACCCAGGAGACGGAGGTTGCGGTGAGCCGAGATCGCGCCATTGCACTCCAGCCTGGGTAACAAGAGCGAAAATTCCGTCTCAAAAAAAAAAAAAAAAAACTTAAGCACCAGCTCACCAAAAACACAGTGTAAGGCATTATATGTGCATGTAAACACACAACCATACTAAACATTTTAACGTTTGTACTTCATTTATTCCTTATGACAGCCCTTTGAGGTAACATCACCCCACTTTACAGGAGATTGAGGACCAGGGAGGTTGATAATAGCAAATATATGGGCCGGGCACAGTGGCTCACGCCTGTAATCCCAGCACTTTGGGAAGCTGAGGCGGGCGGATCACCTGAGGTCAAGAGATCAAAACCAGCCTGGCCAAGGTGGTGAAACCTCGTCTCTACCAAAAATGTAAAAATTAGCTGGGTGTGGTGGCGGCACCTGTAATCCCAGCTATTCGAGAGACTGAGGTAGGAGAATTGCTTGAACCTGGGAGGCGAAGGTTGCAGTGAGCTGAGATCAGGCCACTGCACTCTAGCCTGGGTGACAGAGTGAGATTCCATCTCAAAAAAAAAAAAAAAAAAAAAAGCAAATATGTGGCAAAACAGGGATTTGAAACCCCGGGCCAACTGCAAGCTGGAACTGGAATCAGGCCCTCTGGGAGAAGGGAGCCTGAGGGAAGGTCCCAGTTTGCACTGCAGTGGGGATTGAAGGACTGAGAGGTGTATGGCCTGTGAGACAAAGGGGTCGGGGAGGGTGGGGTGGCCTTTGGAACTCTTGCCCACAGAACTGTGGTGAGCAATTCTAAGTTGTCTCTGGGCCAAATAGAAAAGGGGGATGGAAGAATTCAATTCTGCCAAAAAAAGCTGTGAACACCAGACCCACAATCGTAGAAGCACCCACTGGGCCCTCTGCTCTCCCAATCTAGCCTTCCATCTGCACTCCAGTGCACCTTGGCTTCATGCCCTGGGCCCCCACCTAACACTGAAGGCATTACCTTTTCCTTTGTTGCCCCACTTTGTCTACAAAGAGGAAACCACAGCCAAAGGGAGCACAGGCCTCACTGGAGCTTCAGGCCTCTCCCTCTTTAACACTCCCATGGCTGACCATGCTTTTAGAAAGAGAGTGAGAGACTCAGGGCCTGAGAAGGCATTTCTTTTTTTCCTTTTCCTACCTGACTTTTTTTTTTTTTTTAGTTTTTTGGTGCCATGACTCGGATGTGAACCTCCTACCTGGCTTGTAAATGAAAGTTTGTGAAAGTCCTTCAAGGAGATATAAGTCAAATGGTAAAATAACTATTTCCTATGCTCACCATTTATCATGTGGGTCAAGAATTTGGTCAGGTTATAACAGGGATGGTTTGTGTCTGCTTCATAGTGTCTGAGGCATCAGCTAGAAGATTCAAAGGTTGACAGCTAGGGGCTGAAATCATCTGAAAGCTTGCTAACTCACATGCCTGGCGGGTGACGCTGGTTCTTAACTGGGACCTTAGGTGGGGTAGTCTACTAGAACACCTGCAACATGGTGGCTGGGTCCCAAGGGCAAGCATCTCAACAGGGAGCCAGGTAGAATCTGGACTGCCTTCCTGATCTAGGTTTGGAAGTTACATGGTGTCACATCTGCCACAGTGTCGTCACAGCAGTAATACAGGCCCACCCCACCAATTTCAAAGGGGAAATAGATTCCACCTCTTTTGTTGTTGTTTTGGTAGAGATGGGGTCTCAGGAGCCTCCTTATGTTGCCCAGGCTGGTTTTAAACTCCTAAGCTCAAGGAATCCTCCTGCCTCAGCCTCTCAAAGTGCTGGGATTACAGCGTGAGCCACTGAACCTAGCCTGGACTCCACCTCCTGATAGGCAGTAGTAGCAAGCTTCTGGAAATACTGTGGCTAGTTTTTGTAATCACAATCTGGCACAGCCCATCAGCTTTCCCTTTTGGAATCAGACAAGAGGAAAGGAAATAATCCCTAATACTGGGCTCATCATTCTGGGCTTTTTTGTTCCCACTCTTGGCCCCACAATTTCTCACAGCCCTGGTAGCTCTTTGATGCCTTTAAAAAATGTTTTCCCAGCTTTTGGCATTCTCAAAAAAGATTGCTACCAAACAACCCAGTTTTCCTCTCTGTAAAGGGAGGCTTGGCCAGTGCTTTTAGAATGTACACAGTACAGGCTGGGCGAGGTGGCTCACGCCTGTAATCCTAGCACTCTGGGAGGCTGAGGCGGGTGGATCAAGAGGCCAGGAGTTCAAGACCAGCCTGGCCAAGATGCTGAAACCCCGACTCTATTACAAATACAAAAATTAGCCAGGTATGGTGGCAGGCACCTGTAATCCTAGCTACTCGGGAGGCTGAGGCAGGGAACTGCTTGAACCCGGGAGGCGGAGGTTGCAGTGAGCCAAGATTGTGCCACTGCACTCCAGCCTGGGTGACACAGTGAGACTGCATCTAAGAAAAAAAAAAAATACAAAACCCACATCTCCAAAGTAACATACAGTATATTTACTCATAGGCTATGCAAACATTAAACACTATACACATGGAGTCTTAGAAATATGTGAGAAATAACTTTTGACAATGATGAAAAATTTAAACAGTGATTGCAACTTTATAAAAGGTGTGTGTGCATGTAGAGAAGCATTGGAATTGTTCATGGAGAAAGTTGTTGGAAATTAAAGGCAGTTTTTTATACTTTTATGTAAAGTTAATCAATGATTTGCCTCCCCCATTTTATTATAAAAACTTTCAAACACAGCCAAGTAGAAATAGTTTTACAGTGAACATTTGTATAACTACCACCTGGATTGTACCATTAGCATCTTACTATCACACATCTGTTCATCTATTTTTCTATGTCAATCCATATTTTTCATATATTTCAAAGTAAGTTGCAGACGTCGTCAGTACACCTCCCCCTAAGTACTTCAGAATGCATTTCAATAACTAGAGGTCATACTTGATTTGTAATTATTTTTTTCTTTTCAGGCAAAATCCACATACAATGCTATCCACAGATCTTAAATGTAATTTTCTGGATTTTGACAGACATATAAACCTATAAATTGTGACATTTAAAAACCAGAACCGGGACTTTCTTTTTTCAAATCCTTGCTTACTCAGTTAAAATTAGTGTGAGATGGTTTCTGCCCTGAGCAGTTTGTACAGCAGGCCTATGCCTACAATGGTGGGTGGGGCCGTATTTTGTCCAATGTATGGGGCTAGGAATGGGGCTAGGACTAGGACTGTGTAGCTGGGGCAAAGAATCTGGAAACATTCTTCTGGTATCAGTGGTACCCAGTGCAGTGAGAATCAGGGCAAAGGCTGGGTGCAGTGGCTCACGCCTGTAATTCTAGCACTTTGGGAGGCTGAGGTGGGTGGATCACCTGGGGTCAGGAGTTTGAGACCAGCCTGGCCAACATGGTGAAACCCTGTCTCTAGTTAAAATACAAAAAAAATAGCCAGGCATGGCGGTGGGCACCTGTAATCCCTGCTACTTGGGAGGCTGAGGAAGGAGAATCGCTTGAACCCAGGAGGCAGAGGTTGCAGTGACCTAAGATGGTGCTGTTGCACTCCAGCCTGGGCAATTCACCTTCTTAGGGTAAGGGGGCTGTAAGTCCAGTCTCTTTTAGATACAGAGTTCCAGTAAAAGACTCTTGGGGTTGAACAGTGGCCTGCAAAGGCACTTGGCTCTCATTTACTTCACCTTTCTTACTGCCTTTTCATTTCAGCATTTAGGAAATTTTCTTGTTCATTTGTTTATTGTCTGTGTTCCTATCCAGAAGGTAAGCTCCTGAGAGCAGAGGCCTCTTCTGTCCTCTTCTGTCTTATTCCCTGCTGTGTCCAGCACATGGTCTGCACTCAATAAGTATTTGTTGCAAGAATGACTCATTGTTCCATTTACTCGAAGAGGAAAGGAGGCTCCAAGAGGTAAATGACTTGCCTAAAGAAACAGGAGTCCTAGGCCAGCCATGATGGCTCATACCTGTAATCCCAGCACTCTAGGAGGCTGAGGCGGGCCGATCACCTGAGGTGGGCCGATCACCTGAGGTCAAGAGTTCTAGACCAGCCTGGCCAACATGGTGAAACCCCATCTCAACTAAACATACAAAAAAAAAAGAAAAATTAGCTGGGCGTGGTGGCAGCTGCCTGTAATCTCAGCTATTTGTGGGACTGTGGCAGGAAAACCGCTTGAACCTGAGAGGCAGAGGCTGCAGTGAGTGGTCACCCATTGCACTCCAGCCTGAGCAACAATAGCAAAACTCCATCTCAGGAAAAAAAAAAAAAAAAAACAGAAACAGGCATCCTTTACCCCCATCCTCCAGCTCCTCCAGCTCTCCTGGTCCACTCCTTTGCTCATAAACCCTATAACTGTTGGGGCACTTGTGGGGTGGCTGAGAAATGGCTACCCGTAGGTATATACTCCTGTGGGCTGGGACTAATGCAGGAGTAGGAGTAGGAGGGCTGTGGCACAGGAAACTGCCTCCCCTCCCTTCCTCAGTTCTCTTCTAAGATAACCCTTTACTCTGTGAAGATGATGATGGGCGAGGGCACTCAGGACACTCTGGGAGCCAAGTAGGATGAGGGCTGGGCAGGTATCTACAGGCAGGCAGCTGAGAAGGGGCCTCTGCCTTCTTCCAATGGAAACAGCATCTGTGTGGTTGCTGAGCAGAACCCTCCTTCCCAAGGTATCCAAGGTCTGTAGTTCTCCTTGGTCTGTAGTTCTGTCACCCCCGTGCACATACCACAAATGCTCTGGCCATCGTGCAGCTGTCTCATGGGGAGAGAGAACTTTCGTTTCCTGAGAATAGGTAACTTGCCAAGCTGAACATGCCTAATTCTCAGTACAGCCCTGGGAGGTTCCAGGAAGAGTTGCAGAGGGAGGATCAGGTCACCCAGCACATGGTGGAGCTGGAAACCCAGGCTCTGTGACTACCACACCCAACAACAATTTTCCCAAGTGCGGTCATATCCAAAAGGGGTCCTTCAGATAGTCTTAAAGATTAACAATTACTGTAATAGCTATTTATTTTAATTATATTAAAAATCAAAGTAGCATGTCGCCCCCTTTTAGGGTAATACAAATAAACTAAAAATAATCAAAAAGAAACATATTAAGAAATAATAGTGTAAGTTAGATATAAGGAAAAAGTAAGCTGGTGAGTTTGGTTCTAGAGCACAGGGCTGTCATCCTAGCTACTCGGGTACCTCCTGCACTTGCAGTCATTACTTGTTAGGGATTTTCACACTTTGACTTCTAGCTTTTCACTTTTCCATTCTGTCGGGGGATAGATTGAGTTTGGACTTCCGGGGAAATGTGAATGTTCCGCGTGGGGAAGGATCCACCCTCACTGGGGTCTGACCGTTAGGAGACTAGGCGTGTGGACTCCAGGCCTTTGGGCTGGAGTGTCTATGGGTCAGAGGTGCCTTGGGTTCGGCCATTTCACCCTCACCTTTGGGCCCGCCCTGCTGAAAGGGAGAGACAGTCATAACTCACACTCAAGGAGACACTTCCCTGCCGGGGAGGGGACGGCCTGAGGCCCACCCCACCTATATTCCCAGGCCATGGCTCGGGTTAGCATGCACTAACTTACTCCACGATACGGAGTAGGGGCAGAGTCCTAAACTGGCGCCCCAGCAGCAGGCAGTGGTGGGCATCGGGGATGGTGAGAGGACTGGAGATGGCAGGGGTTGCTGATGTGAGCCCCTTTTGCGAAGAAATGTTCCCTTCCACGAAGAGTTGCCGCCGGTTACAAACCCTTCCCCTGGGGCGTCCCGAACGTGGGACTCTTCCTGGCCTGGGATGGGTGAGGGGGGACTCGGGGGCTGCCCGGTCTGGAGGAGAGACACCGCCACCTACCCCGGGTCTGGGATAAAGCGTCCTCTACCCGCAGGCTCGGTTTACGTGCTGCTGTGCAATCTGTCTCTTGCTTGCAGATGCTCAGCGGCTCGCCCTGCGCGTCCAGGGGACCCTACTGGGGATCACAACCCGGCGAAATGTCGCTTTCGCCACCTATCACGACTGCGTAATCGGCTTTCAGCCGCAGACGGTCACACCCTGCAGAACCCGCGGGGATCCGCAGAGGAACCTGCTGCCACCGGATGCACTGAACGATCGCTTCGGGGGTGCCACGCGCCAGACGCGGTGCCCGGAGCGCCGGGAAGAGGGTCCGCGCCCCAACCCCGACCGGGAGAGGGCGCACTCTGGCCCTCTCTGCGTTTTGAGCCTCCCCTCCCCCGCCAGGCCGATCGCAAAAGGCACCCCCACCGCAGAGCACCACGTGTTGTGCTTCTACTCGGCGAGGCTGGCTCCAGCCTGCGCATCTGGAAAGTGGGGCAGATTACCCTGGAGCTCGGGTGGGGACGGCGTGGGCCGACTTGATATAAGACGGCACCCAGGGAGCCAGACCCGTTCTAGGGACTTGGCAAGTTCCTCTCCCTCCCCAGTGAGATCCGTTGTCTTTTAAATACCTGCAGCAATTAGGGGAGGAAAAAAAGACCCACAGTATTACGTTTGGAGAGGGTTAGGAAGATGGCTCTCCAGTTCCAGGCCGCCCTGGTGGCTAGTCATTGGTGTAGTTTGTGCTTGGCCTTAGTTTCCTCATCTGTAAACTGGGAAGAAGGCCCAAGTCCTGGGGCCTGTGACTGTAGAGTGGCGGAAGGCACTGGTGCACCCGCGGCCGATCCTTCCAGGGTCCGGCTTCCTGAAGGACTGGGCGGCCCCGGGCCGAACCCCTCCCGAACTAACCGCAGACCGTGCGACCAGGTTCGGCACCCCTGACCAGCTAGTGAGCTCCCGGCGGCGCGCAAGGGCGGGGTCCCCGCGGGCCGGCCCGTTCGCTGTCGGCCAACCAGCGCCTGTCTCTGAACAGCCAATGATCACACGCCTTACACCCAAGGCCGGTCGGGAGCGAGGCTTCGGCGAGTGCGGCGCTGACAGAGACGCGCGCGCGCGCGATCGCCCTCGGACCCGGGCCGCTGCCGCCATCACTGCTGTCTGCCCAATCGCCCCTCAGACGCTTCCCCTCGCCATGGAGGCGAGGCCGCCGCCGCCGCCGCGGGGCTCGGAGCCGCGGGCCGGGCGGCGGCCCTGAGGGCGAGTGGCGGGCCGAAACGCCACAGCGGAGCCGAGGCGGAGCCGCTGTCCTCGTCCCCAGCGGTCCCGCCCAACGCCAGACTCTGTAAGTACTCGCGGCCGCCGCGCCCGGGTGGGCTCCGGAAGGGGAGGTGGCTCCTGGCTGCTGTGGGAGGGGTCCCGGGCCGGAGCCCGGAGCTCTCTGTTCCCGGTAGAAGCCTGCGGGCTCCTGCGGTTGGGTTGTGCATCCTTGCGGGGTCCGTCGCGGGGAGGGGTCCCCGGAAACGTGCTGGGCTGGGCGCCGACCCCTCGCGACTGCCCGGGAACTTTGCGTGCGTCCTCCTGGGACCAGGCCAGGGCGCTGCCAGAGTTCATTCTCAGAGAAAAAACTTAGAACGGCGAGAACAGAATTTGCTCAGGTCCATTAAATGGGAGGAAAGAGGAAAACTCATGGCATGAGAAAATTTGCTCTTGCAGTGGCCAACTTTTCTTTCCCTTCAAGTCCACCTCTCCCGACCCCCCGGCGCATCTCCCAGCCCCTCTTCTTGCCGCCCTTTCCCAACTGTTGAGGCGGTTTAAGAAGGGAAATAGGGGCTGAGAGCTGCCCAGAATTCAGAATAGGCCAATTGAGAACGCAGGTCCCCTCCCTTTTTACTTGCGGTAAATTAATAATTTTTTTTTTAAGAATTTGTTCCTAATTATATCTTCTGAAGATTAAATTATATCTCCTGTCTTGAGGGTTTTGTTTTTATTTTGAGATCACTGATGATATTTGTAAGACAGGAAAAGAGGAATGTGCAAATCCACCCTCTGCAGGGTGAACGCCATCAGAAGCCTTTGCCCAGGAGAGGAATTCCGACTCTTGAACCAGTCATATCACCCCGGAGATGGCTTCGTTTGTCACCTGCTAGCTGTGCTGGCAGCCGGAGGAACAGAAGATGGTGGGCGAGAGGAGGACTGACTAAGAAAGGGCGAACATCTTCCTGTCTGGCCACTCCTTTCAAAAAAACAGATCTGATGCTGTCACTTGTTTACTTAAAAACTCCCTCGTTTTTCTTTTTCCCATGGGATGAATGAAGCTCAAAATGCTTTATCAGGTCATACAAAGCCCTTGACAATCTTGCCTCAGTTTACCCCTTTACTTTCAGCCTAATCTGATCCTTCAGTTCTCCTTCCCTTCATCCCCCTTGCTGGCTGTTATTCAGAGCTGCTTGACTGCCCCTTCATATGTTGGGATGTTTTTGTTTTATGTGATCCTCTTCCCCACCCTTACCTGCCAAGCTCCACTTCTTTTAAAGCTCTTCTCATTTGAGAAGCTTCCTGCGGGCAGGAGCTGTGTCTTGCCCACCTTTCTATCTCCCATGCTGGGATAATTCTTCCTTCCAGTTGTCTTGTAGATTCCCTTCTTTTCTCTCTTATGCCTCGGCTCTCTTTCTTTCCAGGTATCCACTTCTCAAGAGATTTTTTCGTGTTTTGAAGGCCTGCTTGGAGTACATGCCCAGGACTTTGAGTATTCTGATTTCCCACTTCCCCATGTCCATCCCACCCAATCCCTATAAGCAATTAGCAGGTGGGAACTGGTAGGTCTCATATTCCACTGGCCTTGAAAAAACTGTCCCTGAAAGACTAAAAGCCCTTCAGTCTCTTCACCTCTGCTTGCTGTAAGTGGCCTGGCTGATAACGTGCATTGTAAGGCATGGTGGGTTTTGTAAACATGGGGGCTGTTCTCTGGGTACTGTTTAGCCAGTTAACATCTGGGGGAAATACGGAACCAGAAAAACCAACCCTCTGACTTAAATACATTCATGTGTTTTTCCTTTGCCAGGTGAATTGTTTGGCATACAAAATAAAAGTGAAGAAGTCAGTCCTTACCTTTAAGGAGCTCAGAGTCTAATGTAGGACAGGTGGATATAAATACATCACAGGTGCTGTAAGATTGTAATAATAATAGCAATTTTGTATTTGCCTTGTGACAAACTGTGTTATAAATGTTTTCCATGAATTCCCCAATCTTTTCAACAGTCATAAAAGGGCTTATTTCTACTCTACGGGGTTGGAAACTGAAGCCAAACAGTGGGCAAATGAGGGAATACTCAAGATTTGAATCTTGGCAGTGTATTTCCAGAGCCTCTGCCAGGCTGTGCAGGGAGCATCCCCTGCCTGGGTGATTTGGAAAAGCTTTCCTGGGAGGGGGGCCTTTGGATCATGAAGGATGCATAGGAGTTTGTATGTGGTGGACTGCACACATAGGCAAGAGGAGCAGCACAGGCAGAGTTGGTAGTGGATGGAATCCACTGTCCTTGGGGAGGAGGGAACAGGTTAATTATAGCTGGATCAGATAAAGGGAGGAGGGGTGGGAGAGGAGAGCATCAGGATCAGCTCAAACGCCTGTATGTGCTGTATTGGTGTTGGACACTGGAGAGCTACTATAGGATTTAAAGGCCCTCAGGGACTTGGGCTGAATGAGTTTTGGAAAGGTCATTTGGGGGCAGTAGGGGGCCAGATTCAGATGCCAGTGCAATTTAGGAGGCACTGGTCAGGTCTGACAAAGGTAGAATCACAGCCTCTTAGACCCAGAGGAAGATGTAGAGAGAGTCCTGCTCAATTTTTGGAAAAAATAATGCAGGTGAGAGAAAAATTCAAAAATTCTAGCAATACAGTAAGATATATAGAGAAAAATGTCTCCCTCCTACCTTGGGCCCAAGTCTCCTGTCTCCCTAACCTCCTCCCCAGAGATAGCTGGTTTCCAGTTTATGTGGCCTTCCATAGACACTGTTCCTTTATAAATATGTGCCTGCTTATTCATACTCCTCCCACCGTGGGACGTACCACTCATACCTTACTGTTGTTTTTTTTTTAACTTTACATATTTAGGAAATCATTCTGTTAATATTATGGAGAGTTATTTGTTCTTTCTGTTGACATTCTTTTAATTATTGTATGGCTGTACTGTAATATCTTTGGGTTAAATATTTGTTTCCAGGTTCTTCTATAACAGCAATACAATGAATGTCCTTGTACATACTGTGTTATGTGCTCGTTTATAAAGTTATCTGAATAATATACTTTTAGAAGTGGAATTACTAGGTCAAGGGATATGTCTGCATTTTTGATTTGCAGACATGTAGCCAAACTGCCACCTCGTTTTGGGGTGGCAGTTTATCCTGCCCCCCCCTCCCCAAAAAAAATGTATGGCTGGATAGATCAGAGGATTCAGGAGGATCAACCAGGATGCCTTTTCAGCTATTATATGCCTACTTTTCCTCCACGAATCCTCCCCTTATCCCATGTGATTCTAGCCTGTTCCTTTGAATTTACAGAGGGAAATGTTGAGGCTCAGAAGAATAAAAGTAACTTGTGCAAGCTGATTGGTGCAGGTGGTGATGGGTTTTTTTGTTTTGTGTTTTTTCATCTTTGTGGTTTGTATTTGCCGGCACCTTTCATTGGAGGTGCTCAGTGTCAGTTTGTAAACATTTCATTATTTTTCTCCATTTTCACGTGGCAAAAATGAGATGCAGGTGAAATTTGAGTTCTGAGAGGGAAGCTGGTCAGATATAGAATCTTGTCATTCTACTTCCAGTGCAATAACTAATAAATGTTTCCAAATGCCAAAGCTGAAGAAGTGTGTGTATATGTGTGTGTGTGTTTTGAGGTGGAGTTTCGCTCTTACTGCCCAGGCTGAGTGCAATGGTGCAGTCTTGGCTCACGGCAAACTCCGCCTCCTGGGTTCAAGCAATTCTCCTGCCTCAGTGTCCCGAGTAGCTGGGATTACAGGCATGTACCACCACGCCTGGCTAATTTTGTATTTTTAGTAGAGACAGGGTTTCTCCATATTGTTCAGGCTGGTGTCGAACTCTTGACCTCAGGTGATCTGCCCTCCTCAGCCCCGCAAAGTGCTGGGATTACAGGAGTGAGCCACCACATCCAGTGAAGAAATGGTTTTTTAGTGGGAGTCTGAGTACAACAAAAATAGCAATAATATAACAGTAACTTAATAAAACTGAACAGCAAGCCCAAAAATAGCCCAGCATTAAAATTTATTTTAATGTATTCTCTATGGAAAAGAGAATGTATTAAATGTAAGACTATCTTTATTTTACTGTGAACTCACATCCATTTGTGTCAGTGTACAGACATAATTTTTATAGTAATAGTACATACAGAATATGATTTTTGAATTCTTGAATAGCATACAAATTTTATATTTACTCATTTAAGTATTTGTTCTTTTAAAATCACAGTGTAGTGTTCCATGCATCAACAGCTGTAGTTTTTTTATTTGTTTTTGGGTTTTTTTTGTTTTGTTTTTGAGACAGGGTCTTGCTCTGACACCCAGTTTGGAGTTCAGTGGCGTGATCACAGCTCACTACAGCCTTGACCTCCTGGGCTCAAGTGATCCTCCCACCCCAGCCACCGGAATAACTGAGACTGCACAGGTGTGTGCCAACACAACCAGCTAGTTTTTGTATTTTTTTAGATTTGTATTTTTTTAGAGACATTCTTCTCATGTTGCGTAGGCTGATCTTGAACTCCTGGACTCAAGTGATCTGCCCACCTTGGCCTTCCAAAGTGCTGGGATTACAGGTATGAGCCACCATGCTCGGCCAACAGCTGTAGTTGGTGCAATCCTTTTTATTCTTTTATTTTTTTCTACCTTTTTACTATTTATTATAAGTGGTACTTTTATAAACCTGAGCACCTCTTGTTCAAATACTTCTTTCTTTTGGATTATTTCCTTGTACTCTTACTCCCACTGTGGACTCACTGAGTCAAAGGATAGTTTCAGTGCCCAATTGCAATCTGGAAAGGTTGAACTAGTTTCCAACACTATTAGCAATTTGTGGGGCTATTTCCTGACAACTCATCTAGTGCTATTACAAAGAAATGTAACGATACCTTGAATTAGGTTCAATTTACATTGCTTTGGAAAAAGAGACCAGTAACTAATTTAGGTTTTTTTGAAATAAGTACAGTGCTGTGATATAGATTATCTCCAAGATTTATGTAACTAAAGCCAACTTGTGGTTGAAGAAAGATTTGGTTGTTGGGACTGAAATATTGTGGAAGTTTAGAATAGGATCCTATCAGTATGAAAGACTAGATGCTGTTC